TTTCTCGAATTCTTCGTTGCATCTCATGGTTGTTTTAACAGATGTCGCATGAATATGGTCCAAAGTATGACACTGAATTAATTATTCCTGGATAGGGTCATTCATAATCTATTACCCAGACCAGGGGTGCGTTTTTCGAAACCATTCGAGTACATTTCGTACTCGAAATTTGACTGACAGCAATGTAAATTAAATGGAGAGCATTCGAAACCGTATGCAATTTCGTATACGAAAACATTCGAAAATACGACCCCAGGGGGATGTGCGTGACAGACGTTTGAAAGACATAGATCGTTTAATAGGTTTCTCTGCATAAGGAATTGCAATAATTTCTTTATTATTGGAATAGAATTGCTAGACAAATTTGGTACCTGATAAAATTAAATTTCACGCCCATAGAGAGATCTTACTTATACTGGGTGTCCCACTAAGGTCGGCGCAGAGGTTATTCTAACGTGCAGTTGGACACAAAATGTGCAGTAGGAAAAGTAAATTGTGCAGTGGAAAATTGAAATCTGTGTAGTTCTTTTTTCATGTATTACGAACAAATAATTTAGTTGACAATATATGCTACATATGAGAATACAATAGCACTATCAATACATTACATTTTTTCTGTGACCGGAAAAAAGTAGACTTTTTGTACCTGTTGACAGGGGCAAAAATGTGACTTTTTCTCCCATGAGAAACAAGTGATTTTTTTTTCCCACGGGAAAAAAGTAACAGGTACCAGTCAAATTTTTTTCCCGAGAGAAAAAAGTAACAGGTACCAGTCAAATTTTTTTCTCAAAGGGATTAAAGTATAGATGGAAAATGGTGAGATTTTCCCGTCACAGAAAAAAATTGTGTATCATATATGGGAAAAAAGTAAGATTTTAGCGCTCGCTGTGTTGTCTCCCTCCGCTTGCGCCAAAATCTAGTACTTTTTTCCCTTGTATTATAAATAACGATGCTGTTTGGCCTGTGCTGTTTCTTTGGCTCTGTGCTGACGCTCAACCAAACCATAGTGGCTTGTCGAGGATCCCACGCTGACAGATAGGGCATATTGTGATAAATGTAAAAAAGGGCGTGGCACCCCTAAAAAATTTTCCCCTACGGCGAGAGTTCATAACCAAACTAGGATGTGGCAAAGTGACACATTCTCGGCCGACGGTGTAAGTTGACGCGCGAGGCGCAGCCGAGGCCGGCAACCACCGAAGGCCGAGAATGTACTTTTCCTCTGAAATACACATACTTTTTTTCTGCTGTCGCTCAGGAATTAAAAAAAATGAGGAATGCTTTTGTGATGTTGCTGGATCAGCATACTTTCCCGGCCTTTCCCGTACTGTTATCCGTTCATTCCTTAGCCCCTAATCACTTTCTCGGCCTAGGGGAAAAGTTAATCCTGTACTGTTATCCATTAGCCATCGATTCCTTAGCAACCATTGAAAATACCAGAATTTCGAGTTTTGCGACCTGGCAACCGGTCAAAAATGATGATATTTCTTGTTAATCGCAGAAAACATATTATGTGAATTTGTTCTTGTGATACATATCATGGTAATAGATACGATGATTTATTTCCTTTATGTGCAGTGGAAAAAAATCCTTAGAATAACCTCTGGGTCGGCGAGGTATGATATTTTGGAAACCATAATACTTACGGCGTACCTCACCGACCTTAGTGGGACCCATGGTACTCTGCTTTTTTTTTTCGTTACGTTAGGAGCACAGAGCCACATTATAAATTTAAATACACAACACAAAAAAAGGTTCGAAGACAGGGTGAGCATTGTATAATAGGTACGCAAATTTAACAGAATACAGATACAATAATAATAAAAGAGTTCAATTATTGAAATAGAAACAGAATAATACAATTTGTCAAAATATCATAAATCAATAATTTACTCCTTACAAAAATACAGAATAAATCACAATGATAAAAATGTACAAGAAGTTTACCAATTGCAATAGAAACAGGATAATGAAATTTATTATAGAAAAAAAGGTACAAAAAAAAAATTCTACTGGGAAAAGTGTTCAATTCTATAAGCAACTTCCTCCTGAATCACTCTCATCTGAATCAGATGTTATTACAGTTATAATTAATGGTTGACAGTCTTTTGCTAGAGGTTGTCAAGGTTCCAAATGTTTTAGTCTTCCTTTATTACATGATTTGTATTGCTCTAATTTTCTGCAGTTACGTGATGTATAACGATGTTCTTAACAGATCTCGTTCATCGTGTAATTTAAAGGTGGTGATATTTCTTGTTATATATCCTTCCACCAGAGCTCCTATACTAGTTCAATAGAATTCAATTCGCAATTGGACAGCTTTTTGCAGAAAGGGACCATCCCCAAAAAAATGCAAATGAGTAATTAAGGCTTAAAGTTCTGACAGTATTAAAAAATTCAGTTCATATTGAAGGCAATTCCAACTAAGGTCATTAGTAGGCAAAAAATATGAGTATTCAATATAAATAATATTAAAATTTAAAATATATTGCTGTCCCTAAAATGTTTAGGTTTTTGTGGGTTGGCTCCTTTCTGCAAAATAAAATTAGTCCAATTTTTATTACAGATACTTTATTGGAGTATGTAAAAAATCAACAAAATACTGCAAAATACAATATATTCATCCAGTAACGGTTCCACTTCAAAATCAGGAGCACCACTGAACCCATCAACATCGTCCATCATATCCGTACCTGTGATATTTTCATAAAACTGCTTACACCCATTCGGAATCAAGTATGTCAAGTTTTGCAGAAAGAAACCAACCCTTTAGTTTGATAGAAAAGGAAAGGAGTGTTTGCGATAACAGAAGGATTCTCTCAGATTTGCTATTAGGATTCATATTCATCAATAATATTCGATTTAAGAACAAAAACAGTAACGGTCGTTTTTATACCACGTCACATTCACGCGTTCCATTCCAGACTTTACGTTTTGCAGAAAAGAACCAAGCCGCTTGGATCCCTTCTGCAGGTAGTTTACCTTGGCAAAGTAACTTAGTGGGTTGGTTCGCATGTTGACAGATGGCGCTATGATTTACGAATCGGTTTGGATCTTTTTTGCAGAAAAGGTTATGGCCTTTGACACGATATTATGGTATGATAATAGAAATCCTGTTTTTGTGGGTTGGTTCCTTTCTGCAAAAAGCTGTCCAATAGGCCCCTTGCATCAAATTTTGTTATTGCTGATTTCGATGGTCCATGAAAAATAAGTCAACACGTGTTTTTTCTTTTTCTTGTTAGTCAAAAATTGACGGAGATACAACGCTTTGAAATGTCTTTCCGACGTCAAGTAGCCTATTTATCCCGTTCCATAGCCATTTCATCAACATGTCTTTTGAGCTGTGATTTTTTTTCTTCAGCGATTTTCAGAGTCTCTTTTTTTGAAATATAATTTTCATTCTTTTTTCATTCAGCCAATTTAAAATGTGAGGAAAGAAACAATTTGTATTCCATGCAAAATTCAAAGGACCCCGCACACCTCTTATGGGTTTTTGGTTTTCTGTCAAACTCAATGAAATTTTAATATGTGATAGCCCTTGACTTCCTGATAAAAAGTTCTCATGGGCCCGAACTGATCCTATGATTAGTTTTTGAGATACAGGTACTTTAATGTCCAAGAAATGTACACATCTTATATGTAGGTATTCAGATCTACCTTTCAGCTAATAATAGGTCTGTTTCTGCAAAAATCACAAACCCGTCAGAGCTAATTTAATTGGTCGGAAACAGTCAGAAACAGTCAAAAAACTAGTTTCAACCAATGAAATTCACTCTGACAAACCTATTAATAGGTGACAGGAGATGTGACTGCATATAAAATGTATTCATTTTTTGGACATTAAACCACCTGTATTTCGGAAACTATTCATAGTATCGGGTTGAGCCCATGAGAACTTTTTATCAGTAAGTCAAGATATACCACATATCAAAATTTCATTGAGTTTGACAGAAAACCAAAAACCCATAAGAGGTGTGCGGGGTCCTTTATCGAAAACTTGAAAAAAGTAGTAGAGAGCTTTCGGCTTTCTCGAGGAGGCAGCCAGATAATCAAGATTTCAAATAGAAATTTAGTGTTTTATTTCGAATTATTTTATTGTTAATAATAAAATGTTCTTTAAAAGATTTTCTCAAGTCAATGTTTCTGACTCTAGGCGTTCATTGAATGAGCTTTGAATGTTTTTTCATCGTGTCGTTGTCCTTTTACAATTTTAACTTCGTTATCGAAACCTGTGTGTAGTACTGATGATGGCGAAAGCCAAAAGCGCTCTACTACGCTAAGTTTTCAATAAATTTTAATTTTGCATGGAATACAAATTGTTTCCTTCCACACTAATTTGAACACATGCAAGCAGCCTCCTATCCTTAGTAATTTAGAATGTGTTCCACCAGGAATGAAGGTAATTTTTCTACTAGTCTAGATGGCGTTGTCCATAATAATCACGGAGTCTTTGGGACTAATGTTATCATTTCAGAAAAGTAGTCTTCAAACACACCGGCCCTTATTTCTATATGGTAACCGTTGCTTGATTTGATTCAAACTCCTATATTATGGCCGTCTTTGGTTTATGATATTTGACCCTCCTTTATTTTTTCCTGTGCCCCTAACCAAAAGGAAACAATGTATAGAAAACTTTTATAGGACAATAATTGTAAAATATCTAATGAGATCTTAGAAGTACTGGCTGTGATGTTTCCATCAGTTATGTTTCAGCAACTGTAATTGCATCTCGATTGGGGATTGGAACTATTTCCAGCCACTTTGAAAAATAGTTCATATAGCATCCATGGGTACGAACATCTCTCCTGACTCTTGTAGGAAAAAGATATCCAATATCTATCGCAGTTTTGTCCCAGAAAAAACCAGACAAGTATTCCTCACTGGCTGCGATATCCATTTTTTGGTGGGCATACATAATTTGCGTAGAAAGTCTTGAGTCTTGCTTCAATGCTGATCGAATTGGGTTCCTCAATGTTCTTCTTGTTTCTCAAAATTAAACACAATTTGGAAAAAAATATATTTATTGCAATAAAATGTACAGACACTATGTTAAAAATAAAAACTTTCTAAATAAACTAGGGTATTCATTAGTTATTGCCTATAATAACTAGATATTACAGATTATTGATAAGAACGTGCTTGCGCATCCAAAAGCAGCACCAACCCCACTTTAAAATATCTTGCTCAACAAGTAGGTAAATGCTGATTCGGCGCACGACAATATCTATCCAAATGTCGCTCATGAGGAAGTACCTGCCCAAAAAATGAAACAGGGTGGATAATCTTGATGAAGATCGAACCATCATGAGGACAAATTTGGAAGAGTAGGTAATGCAAATCTTTCATGTGTAGATCTGTAGATGTCAAGATGGAAACATCTGATCAAAGACTAATTGACTTTCAAAATTCATGTTCATTGGACTTACATTTTCAAACTTAAATCAAAAACATTTTAAGTCTGGTGCGTTTCTTGAAATTATTTGTTTTTATTTACTGATAAGTCCCCATATATTAATTTATTCAATGTTATATATTTTAATTTTAGCTAGCTTTAAAACTTTCAACAATACATTTAGTTGTTGATTTAGGTATTACTTTTAGCATCAGCCTAATGAATTAGGTAGGTACCGCTTTTAGAACGAAGGTACGTCCTGTTAACAATGGTCTAAAGCTCAACAAAACCTAAAATATTGGAGTAGTCTACTAAAAGTATATTTACATCAATCAACATCAAAGCGTTAATTATATGAACAATCCATCATAGATTTTTATATTTTTTTTAATAACATTCAACAGAAATATTAAAGGAGATGCATCTAATACACTGTTAGGGTTTATTATTTTATTAGTAGTTTTTTTTTTTGGTAAATTTAAGTATTAGCACAGATTACTTACATACAGATGAGAAAGAGCTGCGAATTCGTGGTTCAAGATTAATTTGATAGACATAGGCTGGGCCGCACCAATGCCACATCAATGTATTTTGAACATATTTATTATATAAATGCGGAAGCTCAATAATATAATATTATTTCTTTAATTGGTTCACAAACAGCAAAAAAATATTTTTTTTCTACCCGCAAAAATATGTAAACACACAGGCTGGAACATGCTCACCCACTCGGCCACGTTAATTGTCCTGACGATCTTTATCTATGCGTCGGGGCGCTGGCGGCCCGGCTTCGTCACAGAATATCGTCGACGACAAGTATACGTACTTTCGCATCTGTATTAGGTAATCTGTGGTATTAGCTAAAGAAGATATGTGTTTATAAACACTATTTTTATTAGGTAGGTAGATGATTGTTTTTAAGTACATTTTTAGTACAATTTTTATCCCTTTCAAAACCTACTCTTTAATCTTTAAATATTTAATTAAAAAAATCTTAGAATTACCTATACAACAAGTACGTGTACAAGATGATACGTGTTATGGTTTTTGTTTTAATAGAATATATTTCAGGCACTAGGAAATTATGTAATATGTGAGGCAAATAAATTTAATATCAATTCTAATCTAACCGCAAGAAATTCAAGGTATTGTTTACCTTATTCGTTTAACTGAAGCTATTCGATCATGTAGAACCAGTTTAAATTTACGAAAATTTAAAAATGGAAGTAACTGAACTGGTGTGCACATTTCTAAACGCTGATGCTCTGATACACCTATAGCCATTCACAAATAGCTAGAAGCCCCTTCTTGTCCTTATAAGGTTCTATGCAACATCTTTTCTCTTTCCTACTTTTCAGAGTTACAGAGTTCTATGGGACAAACATATATCATATATCTCGATGGATGTGTAAGATGTTTGCCACGAGGATAGCAGAGATTTCAATAGGCAATGAGTCTATTGAGGTAAGCACTCTTCCCCGTACAAACTGGGACTCAAAGCAACGGAGGAGTAGTGCTGAATAGTCGGACTGGAGATAAACCGATCAAAAACCACCATAGTGCCTTTCAATAGGAGGAGAAAGGTCCCTAGAATAAAGGACATCCGAATACACGGAACTAATATTACACTGGTGACGGAAGTCAAATGTCTCGGCATACCGCAGGACTGCAAACTCTAATGGAGAAAACATATTGAGGGAGCTGTAACCAAGGCGACTAGGGCTCTCATCATGGTGTGCCGAAACCATGCAGGTTAAACCTGGAGATACAAAGCAGGGATCTTGAGATGGATGTACACCATCATGACAGTAAAGTAAGACCAACCCTGGATCGATAGCCTGATTCAAAAAAGTTGAGAAGCAGAATATAAAAGCAGCTCTCAACAAACTACAACCCCTGGCGTTCACATGCATCACGGGCGTATTGAAAACTCATCCTACAGCAGCCATCGAGACAATTGTAAGTCTTCCTACCTCTTAAGATCGTGGTAATAGACGAACAACGACTAGAATCACTGGCGAGGGAGGTTGGCGTGGAAGAAGAGAATTAGCATCTTCAAGCAAGCTTTTTCCGCTTCTCGCGAGCTCCCCAGGGATGATACGATCAAAACATATAATTTTGAGAAACGCTCCACAGTAGTCATCAGAAGCAGAGAAGAATGGAAAGGAAACACCACATCCATTCTTGCAATGTAGCAGAAAGCCGTAAAATGGGATACAGATGGGTCGAGAACTGAACAAGTTACCGAAGCCAGAGTATTTGGGCCTGGAAGTTCTCGAAATCAATGGGAAATCACCCAGACATATTTCACGCGAAAATAAACACTAATAGTAGATGTGCTGGGTTCAATCTTGACAGAAACTAAAAAAAAAGAAAGATTGTATAATCACCTCCCTAATGGTTTAGGAATTCCTGGGCAAAAATAACAAACTATTTCTCCAGTGGAAACCGGGACATGCAGGGATCGCAGGTATTGAGAAGGCGGACCAATTTGCAGAATTGGGAGCACAAACTCCGTTTTTAGGACCAGAGCCTTTCTGTGGCATAGCTTCCAGGTTTAAGGCAACCGAAAATGTTTCTTAGGTCCCCTCGGAGATCAAAAGATTTTATATCACTGAGTAAAAACAATCTTCGCATTCTCACGTCGCATGATCATGATACGAAAAATGTTCCAGCTAATACAGAAATTTGGTAATCTTCAGAAAACCAAGAGTGTAGGATCAAATTGTAATATTTGTGTAGGTACCTATGTCAAAGGTGTATACATGCAAATAACATAAGATAAAGATAAATAAATCCAAATTAAGGCTTAGAATAGCCTTATTTTCCGATCCAGTGGTCCTCTCTCTAAACACAAAACGGAACTTTACTTTTTTTTCAAAAACTCCACAAATAGAAACTCAAATCATATTTTGAATTCTAGATGCAATGAAACGACCAGTTTAAGTTTACATCATCACGAATCTTTGACTGTTGGAAATGCAGTGGAAGTACTTGCCAGAAAAGTTCGATGGGGTGCGATGAGTTTCTATACGTCTCCTTTGTAAATTTGTTAACGCCAAAGAATGAAACACTCACAGAAGATCATAAATTATTCAAATTCAATGTTGAGAAAAGTGAAAAATAAAATAATGAAATAACAACTCACTCGATGAGTCATGGTGCGCTTGCTACATCGGCTCAAACCCCCGGAAACTGTTTTCCCCGATTCATTAGAAAAAGCAATACATCGTGAAATACCTATATCTTCATCTCAAGAACAACCATTTTTAAAGAGTCGGCTAGTATCTATGATATCGCTTCTATGGTAAGGTGTCATCAGTATGAGAAGCTGGAAAACGATTTTATCGTAGGTGCTGGAGTTCGCCTCAGAAACCAATACATTTTACGAGACTGAGCTTAGTTATAGCTCCTGATGAAGATTTGAATGCACCTAGAAATTTTGGTTTTGAAGTTTCATGCCCTTGAAATATGGATGTCGATGAGAATACTGTAACAAAAACCTCGAATAGTTTACTTCCAGCTTCTCAAATCCAAAAGTTCCCGGACCTTCAATTAGGTATGGATGGACACAATATCACGATCGAGCTACAGCAGCCAATTGGATATGCCGCAGAGGCTAATATGTCTAGGAATAACAGGGGCTATGTCAACCTGCCCCACCGCTGCCTTAGAGGCAGTAGCGAACATGCCAAAAAATACTCTGGCAAGAGTTGATGCCTATAGGCCATTTCAGACAAAAATATCTCAACCTGGTGATCTGAATAGCCACTTACGCATCCTTCACTCTATAAAGCTCAAGTGCCAGAGTAAACCAACAGATCATATGATAACATTACTGGACATTCCATATGAAGTGGTTGTGAAAGAACGCCAATCATGAAAGAACGCGAAGCTACCGCAAGCGGATAACGCATCATTGTGGCTTCGTTAGGTTAGGAGCACAGAGCCCCATTATTAATTTAAACATACAACATAAAAAAAGGTTCGAAGACAGGGTGAGCATTGTATAATACGTAAACTTAACAGAAAACAGATACAATAATAACCAAAGAGTGCTTCGAACCATATGTGTATGGTTCGAAGCTAACGGAAAGAGTCGATCTGGGAAACACCGGACCAAACTTCAAATGCTCCTCAGCAATGGTAAAACGTCTACAATATTTCAAGCTGAGGTACTGGCCATAAACAACTGTGCCCAAGAGTGCCTTAAAAATTCTGTCCGACAGTCAAGCGGCTCTTAAGGCTCTAAGAGCCATCAAGTACTCGCAGCTAGTTTGGAAGATGGAAAAATATCCCTAAGCAACTGGCTGGGAGGAATAAATTAACTAACCATGATGTGGGTGCCAGGACACCAGGGCATAGAGGGCAACGACGAGGCAGACCAGCTCGCAGAACAAGGCGCTTCAACACCTTTTTAGGGCCCAGAGACTTTTTGTGGACTGATAAAAAGCAACGTTGTTTCCGAATAAATGAACAGATGGGGCAAGGAACGAATGCTAGCTCATTGGTCTGAGACAGGCAAAAAGGTTCGTATCCATCTCAGCAAAGAGATCTGAACAACTTCTTGACATGTACAGAAGAAACATTAGAACAGTCGTCAGTCTGCTCAGTGGGCATTGCCTGTTGAAATATCATCAAAAATAGACAAACCAGACAGCGATCACTGCAGATTTTGCGAACAAGCAATAGAAACTACAGAACATTCAATCTGAAAGTGCCCTGCTCACTTTTGCGAAAGGTTGAAATACCTTGAAGGGGTGCGGCTAACACCCCAAGAGGTGGGCACTTTACGAACTACGAAGCTGGCCTCCTTTGGAAGAAGCCTACAAATCTTGGGCACCAACTAGAAAATATCTAGAAAGGTAGTAGCGCTTGAGCGGCTGGAACAAGCTGTATAACGACTCCAAATGCAATCTAGAATCTACAATCTAGGTATGGATGTTTTTGGGACATCAGAACTGAGAACATTTACTGCAGGAAGTTGTACCTACTCACCTACTAACTCAACAGAAAAAAAAACCAACAAAACATCAACAAATAAATTGCAAAATTATTCAGAATCATGGTAATATTAGGATGCAAACATTTGGATGTTTCAAAACTTAAAATGTCATAATCCCCATCAAATCCAACAAACATCAACTAAAAACTCATGACAAATGTCAGACACATCACACTTGTATTTCCAAATAAAAAGATGAAGATAAACATCTCTTTATTCCACTTCTTATTATTACCTATATATTTTTGTTATTTGTCTATATAAATTAGAATCAGAATAAAACCACTGTCTAAAGTTTAAATTATTATTGATCATAGGCCATGAATATTTTGTTAGTTGTTAATTTCTTTTATTTTTTGTTAAAAAACTATTATTGTTACCCTGTATAAGATGTAAATAATAAAACACTACGAATTTTGATTAAGTGTTAGTAATAATTATTATTAGATATGCGATGAATGATATGACTGAAAGCAGTATTGTCTGGGCACAACGTATCTAATATATTTTATTATATCGATCTGGGACACTACCATAAAAACTGATCAGCTCCGGAAGTGACATTTTTTTGTTTACCTCTATTTAGGAACAAAATTAAATTTTGTTTGAAATAGTTAATGAGTACATATTATTAAAATATACCTAGGTGATTAGTTTTTGAAAGGGATAAACTTTGGAAGGAACAACTCTCAATAATTATCATATTATTCTACAAATAGGTAGGTATTGTATTTACTTCTATTTGGGCTCTAAGTTTATTTATTACACAAATCACAAATTCATTTTGTTCTACTCAAGAGAAAGTGTGTCATATACTTATCTGTTAATTTATTACCACGATATTTTCAATAGTAGTGTGTTTGTTAAAATAATTTTGTGTTTTGCTTTCAACTTTTTTCAAAAGTACATTAGAAATTTCCTATAATACTAAATTATTATAAAAGTCGATTTTTTATGCCTCAAAAAAATTCCATACAATTTGAAGTTTTTGAATTTTGATTTTAGTTGCTTTTTATCCAACATTTTAAATTGATCAAACATCACCTACTTCATCTGCAATTGTATTAGTACTTAGTTTAGTTTAGTTTTTATTTTCTCATATTCCATCTAATGCTTTAATGTATACCTACTAATTTACAGTCTTTAAATCGATCAGCATGTTCAATAATATATTTTTTTTGAGGCTCTCTCCTAAGAATATAAAAAATTGACTTGTATAATAAACTGCATATACTATAAATATGACACGTGACATAAAAAATAAATAAAGCTCGTGCCCTATTTGCATCCTTATTGTAGTCATCACATCTTTTTTTGCCTAATTAAATTTAGTAGTTGTAAAGCCAATTCAATAAAATTTTGATTGTAGAATACTTTTTCCTATGAGTTCTTTTTTGTCGCCCTGCCATCAAATATTTCATGGTCAAAGTTTGACGCCATAAATATATTACAAATGAGTCAGTTAATCGCCTTTGTCAGAATGGAAAACGAAAATTGATTATTGCTTTGAGCAATAATTAATAACAAATTTTCCTATTTTATTCCAAAAACATGACAATGTAGTGGTAAAGGCAGGTTAACAGAATTTTTTTACAGGACTAGACAAAAACATAGGTAGTTTAAATTGAAGCTCTGTGATTTAGTACCTACCTTAATAAACAATACAACTATATACATCAATACATCTTTCTAAGCTAAACATTGGAAATAACTATTCAGTCTCACATAAAATACCGCAAAATAGAATTTGCAGGGGTTGTTCACACGTTGTTGAGGTCGTTGAAGTGACATAAATTGACAATCTTGTTGTCGAAGGTCGCTAATAAGTTGAAACGCTTATTGTGGACCCAAAATTCTTTTATGCATCCGTGGAAGCCCTTGTAGTACGCTTCGGAGAAACCTGGAGGTACTGATGGAGCACCACCTAAAAATAATAGAAAATTTTGCATTATTTCCTTGTTATTGTTAGAATATAGTTACAAAATATACCTACAATAATGAAAAAGTTATTACTTATTACCTCTTCAGGAAAATTCACAAAATAATATTGATATGCCTACAGGGCATTGAATTTAAACCATAATAGTTGGAATCTACTTCCGATAGATATAACCGGAAGTGTGACAAAGCTTACAATATTTTAAACGTAGTTATGTTCCCCATTGACCATAGTGTCATTAAATTTTCAGATTTTTCCTAATAAATTACCTATAGTTTACGCACAATTGATCGATGGATTTTCCTAAACAGGATAGATAATTAATGTATTATGAAGTTTGTACCCAGATAAATAGGGTCAATAAAACGCCCTACACACCATCAAGAAAAAAACCAGGGATTCTCGTAGAGAACCACTTCCCAGGGAGTCTGCTGATAAATGGCCTTTAAGACGCTCAACCCAGCGATCGGATTAAACGACCTGGAAAGGAAGGGAGCGGTCCTATCATTCCACCCTTTCAAATCGCCTGAGGAGCACGGCATTTCCCCTGTTCTCTGCTACAAAATGGGCTCCGGATTCTGCTACCATTCCTGATAAGACTCTTCAGAGCCAGTCTTGCGTGCAACCATATACCATCAAGCTAGACTGCTACAAAGGTATATCTCTAAAGCGGTGCGCAAAGAACCTACACCCCAATCATTCAACCAAGTCTGACATCTATCCTGCAGAAAAATTTAGAGAAAGTGCTGGAAGAAGAAAGTCCACAGAGGCTCTCTGGAACGTAACAGCATTGCCCTCGCCGCCTTCCTGGACATATAGGGAGCTTTTAACTATGCGATGCCAAACTCTCTCTCTCTCTCTCTAACTCCCCTTCAGATATATCATATATCTGAAGAGGGAGGCAATGAGGACAACTTATCATGCATCAAAAAGCACTTTGGAGGTTTGAAGCACAATGCAACACACGGTGCTTGCATGTGGATGAAATAAATCGACACGGCACCCTCAGCATGCCTTTCCACGTAATACCAAAGAAAACCAACTTCGCCCTTCCCGGCAGAGAGCTACTGAAAGCCGACTTCTGCTTGTATATAGTCGGCTTCAAAACCAACCATGGAGTCGGAGCAGGGGTATATTGCGAGACACTAAGATTGGAAATTTCGACCAGCCTGGCAGAACTGTGGGCCATCGAACTTGGCGCTAGATTGTAGATTGTAGATTTCGGGGGAGTCGTTTCGGCTTTTCAGCCGCTCAGCACTGCTACCTTTGCAGATATTTTGTGCGTGACTCTACATCTTAATTGAGCCTCTTTCAGAATTGGGCTGGACATTCGCAGAGCAGGTGCTCTGCGGTTTCTATTGTGTCTGAGCAGAATCTGCAGAGATCGTCTTCCGCTCTGCCCATTAACCTTAAATGGTATTTTACTGGGCAGTGTCCTGTGAGCAGTGCCACCACCAATCTGATGTCTGGTCTGCTCATGTTTAGGAGCTGTTCAGCTCTTTTTGCTGAAAGGGTAATAAACCTTTTTGACTGTCTGAGTCCCGGTGTGTGCCTCCAATATGATGACAGTTGGTCTTTCTCCCATTTGTTGAGTTCTTCCATGATGTGGCTTTTCATTAAGCCACAGTAGGGCTCTGGTCCGTGGTATGGTGTTGAGGCCCCTTCCTTTGCGAGGCCATCTGCTTCTTCGTTTCCTTCTATGCCTCGATGACCAGGCAGCCACATCAGCGTTACCGGGTTATGTGTCGCTAGTGTTTTTAGGGTCTGTTTACACTCCCAGACTAGTTTTGACGTCCATTTGAAAGCCCTTAAGGCTTTTAAGGCAGCTTGGCTGTCCGATAGTATGAAGATGTGTTTTCTTTTGAGGCTTTGGTTAAGACACTCTTGTGCACATATATCTATGGCAAGCAGTTCGGCTTGAAATATTGTAAGATGTTTACCCAATGCCTTGGAGAGCTTGGAAGTTAGGGCCGGAAATGCCCAGTCCAGCTCCTTCCATCAGCTTGGATCCATCTGTGTACCACAGAGATGCATTGTCTGCTTGTGGTAGTTCTTTAGTCTCCCATGATTGGCGGTCGTTTATTACCACTGCGAAGGGAACTTGGCGCTAAAAGAATGCCGCGACAAACGCAAAAGTCGATAAAAATGTTTACTGATAGCCATGTTGCGCTGAAAGCACTGGCATCCATACATTGTACATCAAAAACAGTATGGATCTGCAAACAAGCCCTGAATCAGCTAGGGGAGAATGAAAACGTTTCACTAGTCTGGATACCAGGACATACCGAACAAAAAGCTAACGGATGAACTTGCAAAAGTTGGATCTGAGCTTAACTTCATTGGACCGGAAACAGTACTAGGGACCCCTAAATACGGCCAACTACGCAATCTCGACCTGGGCCAATATAGAGGCCAAACAATACTGTCAGAGGTTACCAGGTATGATTCATGCATAATCCTTCGTACCCACCACAAAAAGGAAAAAAGTGGCGACCATACTTCTGGGGAAGGGCAGGAAAAGCCTAAAAGCCCTGGTGGATCTGTAAACTGCACACTACAGAATTCGGCATCCCATGCACAGGATCGGAATAGCACAAGATGCTGAGTGTCGCCTGTGCATGGAAGAGGATGAAACTGCAGATCATGTCCTTTGCACGTGTCCGGCAATAGCCAGAATCAGGCATGCTGTATTCGGGGAGTCAGTTGTTCGACCCGAATACACAAATCAATGCTTCTCCACGCTCATTTCCACCTACATCAGAATAAAAGTTAGTTTCAAATTGTCCGAAGTTTTCTTCATTAAAGCGACCAGTTGATCCGAATGTAATAACGTTCTGTTCTTAAACCTACAAGCTCTGTGAAAAAAATTAATTTTTTATTCAAAACAAACTTAATTAAATTATTATATTATGATTTGCACATTGACTAATCACACGGCTTATCAAATTATTCAACCAAAATCAAAAGAGGCGGCTCTAGGTAATTAAAATTTTAAAATGTGAGAAAGCCTCTGAAATCATGAATATTCGAAAAAGCAAATTTGGTTGTTCGCGAAGTTCATTACCCGAAACTCTTTTTATTTGGCTAATAATTTACACTTTATCTTTTACGCAACATTAAACTCGTAATTTCTTTAAAGCGCATCCGCGTATCTTCCATTTCGGGTTTTATTTATGCACTGTTGTTGTGGACCGGCTAATTTCGAAATATTTTTTTTTATATCCGCCCCACAAATAGGGACCCAAAGGAAGAGAGAAATTTGAAAGATAAGAAAGAGCCGTGTACAATTTCAGGATTTCTTTCCCCAGGAAAAGTGATAAAGGGTTTTTACTGTATTTTTTTCTTTATCTCCCAAAGAGAAATTATATCGAGAAGTAGGTTATTAGTCACCTAAAAAGTACTTTGGATTAAATAATAATAGCCCAGATTCTTTTTGATAGGTGACGTACGAATAAAAAATAAAGTGAATGATAATAATTGAAGAAGGTGAAAGTAGCCACTTCATAGTAAAAGCATCTACTCCTTGTTGCATGCCGTATTCGTTTAAGTTGAATTTTGATTTGAGTCATACCTATTTTCTTAAAATACAGCAATTACTTACCAATCCAAAGTTTCGCTGTCGTTCTCAAGCTTTTCGACCCAGGATTTGATCTTCCACGCACAAACCGTCCACCGTCAACCGATATCATACCAATTCGTTTCTTCCTTTTAACGTGCACTGTATGCCAATGGCCGTCATCGATCCGTTTTGTGCCTCTGAAATTTCAAATTTTCAATCAATTATCCAATATCCAAATATAAACCAAAAAACTATTATTTGCTTGCCAATAAGCCTATCATTAAAAGCTTTGATTAGCGAAATAATAATTATAACTCGAAGTCAAATAATTGGTGGTTGTAATGTAATATTCTTAGTACTAACGCCAGCAAACATATATTACCTAGCTCATTAGCCATTTGATGAAAGATTTGGTAATTTCCGATTATTAGTGAAATCAATTATGGCGTAGGTACATATATCAACCTCTGAACGGATGGAGAATTTCAAATGGAAACCTGATCAAGCGATAGCTCATCTTGAAGGGTTTTCGATCCTATTTAACCTCGAAGTATTAAGTAGCTTATAGTACTAGGTAGTAGGTCTCTTCTAACTCAGTATCCCCCTACCTAACGGTGTTGCGTATCTCCGCACCAACTTCTTAGTTATTTTTCTCAAGATCTCCTCAAACAGCGCCCGTTTAGATATCTGTTCTAAAATTGGTTTTACCCGAAATATAATCGCCACGGTTAAGATAGAGGTAGGTATATTATTAGGGCGTTTAGGACTGTTCCAACTCAATTTTGAATCCTCCTGCCTCTAGCAACGCTCTCTACCAACTTCAGCCAGGCAATACTTTTCTCTTCACTTCCATTTCTGTAGTAGGATTGCAATGGCCGACTCAAGTTCCATGAAACCATAGTCCTAGTCTTTCATAAACATTTTATATTCTCCATAGTTGAAAATTTGCTCAAAGACGACGCTCAAGAGAGCCAAAGAGCCGAAGTAAAACGACAAAAAGAATTTTAATCCATCTATTGAACAATCTAACTATCAAAATCATCTCAAGAAAGAGTATCAGCAGACAAATTACATATTGTAGCGGTTACTACGTCGCTACGTTCCTGCCACGAAGTTGGAACGTAATTTGGTCGTAGGCACGTAATGGGATCGTAGCAATGACGTTGCCGTCTCTTGCAACTATAACTTTACAGTTCCCAACAACAGACGCTAAATCATACCAACGACTAGAAATGCTGCTTAGAGAGAAACAAAGATGAGAAATGGTGCGCCCTGACAAGGTTGGATGTGAGAAACGTCTTCACAGCTTCCTGGGTCAATATAATGAGCAGACTTAAAGAACCAGGGATTCCAGCTTACCTGATTAACACGGTTGTGGACTATTTCACGAACCTCAAACTGACAACCGACTATAGAGACGCCCTTATCATCGCCGCCTGGATCTCGTAGGGATCCGCGCTGGGACCCTTACTTTGCAGCATCCTGTACGACCCGATCCTGCAGCTGAACTTTCCCCAGGGGTAGAGGCTATCGGTGTTGCCGACGATCTGGCCGTAGTAGTCAGTGCAGGCACTAAACCAGAACTCATAACAAAGATGAAGGACACGCTTTGCATGGTTAATAGGTGGATGGAACAAAACCATCTCAGATTGGTCCCGGAGAAAAGAGAGCCTGTAGCTCTAAGCGGGAACACCAACAGGCTGGATCTTCGGTACACGCTTGGGACAACAACCATCACCCCCTCCAAATCGATGAGGTATCTAGGGTAACTGATTGAAGAAGATTGTAACTTCAGGGACCACATCATTGAGACCGTTAAAAAGGCCGATGAGAGGGCAGGGGCACTCATGCGCCTTATGTCTAATATTGGAGGCCCAAAAACAAAAAACGACAAATGCAATATGCGTACTGCAGTCGATACTTCTTTACGGTGCATCAATCTGGCAGGGAATGTTAACCCACAAGAAATATAGGGCATTGTTGGAGGGATGCCACAGAAAAGCACGTTTTAGGGTGGCGTGTGGATATCGCACAGTATCGACGGCGGCGATACAGGACCTACACCGGTACCTCCCCGATGGCCTCACTGGTGGAGGAGAGAGGCCATTTGGGAAACGCAGAAAACCCTTCAGGCCGCAAAGGCCGAGGTCAGCGACGAAATCATAGAGCGGTGGCAATTGAGATGGCAGGCGAATAGCGAAATAGCACAGTGGACAAAAAAGCTGATTCCAGACCTACCACCGAGGGCTCCGGTGCAACCATCGAAGCACCGACTATTGCAGAATCAGCAAAACCCAGGAAAACTGCACCTACTGCAACGAGGTTGATAATGCCGAATACACAATTTTCCAATCCATAAGGTGGAAAAGGCAGAGCCTGGACCAAGATAGAATGTGTCCCCTGTTAAAAATCATATTAGAAATGCTGAAATTGTTACATACCTGATCAAGAAGAGTCTTTTTTCCCTACCAAGATTGAAACTGACTTGTGGATATCCGTTTTCGATGGCGACAGCGAAATAATCTCTAGCAGTTCTTTTCGATTTGCTTCTCCATAATAATAAGCCATCAGCCACAAACGTTTGAAGTACAAATTTGTAGTCATTTCCAAATTCCGATTTTCTCCTAAAAATATTCAAACTTGGATTATATCCATACGCCCTTATTTAAAATATATTAATACTTCTACAGCATGCTTTCATCTTTAACTTTTTTATTTTTTCAACATCCTAAAGTACTTTGTTCTAGTCAACTTTCGTATTAGGAATTATTCTATTGCAACTAAACCTACCGCTGATTATTAGTGCTAAATGACTGGTTATAGGAATCATTTCGCTTCATCAAGCGAATAAGTTCTGATAAATTATCTACTCGAGCCCAAGGTAATTATTAGTAAAGTTAGTCGGTTTAGTAAAACTTACAGTTCCTCCTCTCCATTGTAATCAAAAATGCTGGTCTCCTTTCTCTTTCGTTTCAGTTGGACTACCACTTGATTTGCGATATCAGTATGATTATAGCTGTGTTAGGAACAAAATGTTTTTTGTTAGTTTTTGTAGGCAAACATTTTTATTTATTTTGCCAACATCGTTAGAAAAATGACGTTATGAAAACACAAAACTAAAACAATGCCGGAGATTTCCAGTTGCTTCCCAAACGCCCGTGTATTTACTCACAGAAGATAAATCCAAAGATTATGAAGATTTATTTTATGACGAACTTTAAAGTTCATATTAACAGATGATGTCCGAGGCATCAAAATCATTATGGAAGACTACAATGCTTAAGTAGGCAGTTTTTTATCAACAAGTTGACCCCCATCATAAAAACTCTTGACTTTTGAACTAACCCAAACTTTGAATGTGATGTGATGTGATGGTGATTTTGCGATTTAACAAAGCAATTCTTAAACCTATTTTTAAATTATTATTATTGAATAATTATGAGGATTGGGAAAAAGTTGGATGAGGCTTTATCATAGAAATTCTTGACGAATATTCGACAGCAAATTGGAACTATAGGAGAAAAGATTGGAGGCTAAATAGGAAAGAGTCGAGCAGAAGTCATAGGCGAAATACTGAAGTTCGACATTGAAGAAAGTATGGACATCATCGGATTTACATCGACTACAGATACTTCGATACAGTCTAGATTATTTGGCAATTGGAACCATTTCCTCACAGTAAAATTAAACGGACGCCCAATATTATTTACAGCAGTTGTACGATTAGGCACGAATATAAAAGTAATTAATTTACCTTTTAAATCCTTTCAGCTTATATTGCAAATGAGTATTTCCAGTAAATTTGACGGAGCGGCTGGGATCCTCTGAAAAAGAACTGACATCTTCTACAACAAAAAAAAAAATAAAATAATAATTAAAAAAAATATATAGGAGAAAACGATTCGTTTAAAATAAAGTTTTCTGTTTGCATAAGCGTTTTTTGCACGAAGAGGAATTAATTAATTAAATTCGTTCGGGGTTCGGATTTTTTTTTTTGTGCCCAGATGTAAAACGTTTAAGGTGGTAATTGGCAAAATGAATACAGTGTAACATTAACCCTGCCGGAAGGGTGTAACATGTGATAGCTGATTACAGAGGATTTTTGTTGTTTAATTTGGCTAAAACAGGATATCACGCTCTTTCTTGTTTTTAAAAAGATTATTTCTTTTTTTAAATTAAACACGAGCATGTAAACGGTAGAAAAACAGGATTGCAGCATTTAATACTAGATTAAAATTTTTTTTTTTTGGTGAAAAGTATTAACAGAATATATCAACTTAAGGGCACTAGTAGAAATTGAACAAGAGTTTATTGTCAAACTATTGCTCTTTTTGGAGCCAATATTCCAGCTTATTTATCTGTTAATGTCGTGTTAAAATTAATTGAACCTTCATTATCCAAATTATTGAACTATTTTTCCAAAATTTTCAAATCGTCAACATTTAAAATTGATGGTAATTCGATTTGATAAGTAGCAGACTCAATTTAGCTATTTTACAAATTTCCCTAATTATGAAATGACTATCGTAGCCTGAGAGATTATGGAAAACCAGAGGTACTATGAACAATTCCCTGAAATTCAAGTTGCAGTTTTGATGCCTTTAGATACGCGATCTCGATTGCCAATCAGGTTAACATTGCGGGAAATAGTCGGTATGGCAATTTCTTGACTTATACGAATGAAAAATAAGGTTCTTTATGTGAAATGGTGAGTTGAGTTGTTTGGATCCTCATCGGCAACACTTTCACTCACTGCAGCAAAATTTTCGATAAATTGTCTTCGAATCTCGAGTCAGTGCTTTTTTTTTATCAACAACTGAAACAGTTTCTTCAATAACAATTTGGTACGTTTTCTGGACCAAAAACTAATCTGCTAACTGTTTCCGCAACATGTTTTCTACATTCGAAGTATGTTATCACATTCAAAAAACGTCTCTCATACCTAAGGTTTCGTTCCGCCAATCTTAGTGTTCTCTTCGTTGTTATGTTATGGAAAAACTTGAAAATATATCGGTTTGAATCAATAATTTTAATTTTAAGGAAGTTCGCACTGTATAATTATTTGCTAATTAAGATTGCCTAAGGAATATAATACTGAAAAGCAGTATATGCATTTTTTTATAGTATGTGTTCAACAGTAACACATAGGTAGGTACAAAGGCATTTTTCTTTGTCTCATATACGCATATTAAATTAGCTGTTGAGCGACACGAAAAATATGGTTGATACTTTTTTAAATAAATTAACTAGACTTAAAACAGTAAATATCAGCGTGTTCTATTTATCAAACCCGTTGGCTGGTTTACGTTGAGATTAAATCTAGCTTTTTAACATATTTTATTAATTTCTGTTTTTATTGAAGAAAATTCGCAGAAATTTATATTCTTTATCCTTGTTGTGATTCAGTTGAAGTTGTTGGAGCGAAGTTTTAATGTATACAAAGTAAAACGAAATATGTGTTTTTACCAAATTGGACTGAACAGCCCTTCAAAGGATAACGCACACCTAACATGGGATTTTTGGGCTCTATGGATTTTGCCCATTTTTTGATATGTTGTAGAGGATTTAATTCTTAACAACCTTTAAATGGGACGAAGTCTTGTAGGTACTACGGACTTTGAGATATGAGCGTTGAAAGATGAACTTTTTTGCGACTTTTTGTGTGGAGAGTATACGAAAAACTGGTGTTTATCAGTCAAAATATTGAAAGGTCGACATATTTCACGTCACTGACAAATGTCAACATAGGCTAAGGCCGAGACCGCACTAGCGCCAACATTGACCCCAGTGCGGTCCCGGCCTTAACCTATGTTGACATTAATTTGTGAGTGACGTAAAATATGCGAACCTGTCAATATTTTGACTGATAAACACCAGTAGCACCAGTATCTCGTATACTCTCCACACAAAAAGTCGCAAAAAAGTTCCTCTTTCAACGTTCATATCTTAAAGACCGTAGTACCTACAAGATTTCGTCCCATTTAAAGGTTGTTCAGAATTAAATCCTCTACAACACATCAAAAAATGGGCAAAATCCATAGAGCCCAAAAATTCCATGTTAGGTGTGCGTTATCCTTTTAAAACTTTATATTGTGTGTTTTTATGGGTAAATTATGTGAAGGCACGGGCCCGAGAGACTTCAGTCAGACTCAACAATTGCCGATTGGGGACAATAGGCTTATTGAGAGCTGATCATAAGACATGCCAGAGCCTAGACTAATCAGACAGGACCCCCTTCCCACCAGAAGGAATGTAATGCCAAAAACTTCAGCCCCCCTTAGAAAATACAAAGTCATCATCCATACAAGGGCTAAAGCCTGACCCAGGCTTCCACAAGCCAGATGGGCTCATCTGGTGCACCGTCAAGTCTCTGATGGAAGAGGGTGCAGGGGCTAGTGTATCTGAGGGAAGACCTGTGGCGAGAATCATGCTTGCAATGGGGTGATACCCAACGGGATACCAGGCTGAGATCCACGCCATACAGGTATGTGGTGAAGAGGATCTCCAAGGAGGTTACTTGGGCATATTCATATATGCAGCGACAGTGAAGCAGCACTCCGAGCCTATGCCTAGACAAGGTCAAATCAATGCTAACGCTTGACTGTATGACAACCCTAGTGGGCTCAACAAGGCCACCCTTGTTTGTGTCCCAGGTCACAGGGACATAAAAGGCAACAAGGAGGCGGACCAGCTGGCGCGTGAAGGTAGCACTATCTTTAATGGAGAACAGCCTGCACTTGGGGTTGCTTCCTGCCTGGTAAACAAAGATCAGGACTGGTCCAGCAACCAGTTTCAAAACAAATGCATCGATCAAAAAGGCCTCAGACGATCAAGGAGCCAACTAAGAGCCATCAGAGGCGTCATGACGGGGCACTGGGTGGTCAGATACCACCTGCACAAAATCGGACTCAGAAATGCACGTTCTGCAGGGGAGTAGATGAGACAACCAAGCAGATAGTCTACGAGTGAAGCCCTCGTCAGTCAAAGACTACGAAACCAGATAAACGTTGCTGGAACCTGATGAAATAAAGCATATCCGACTTGAGCGGGTCTGCACCTTTCTCAAAAATTGCGTGCTCCTAAGGTAAGACAGTGCTGCACTAAGAGGGTGCTTGCACAATGGGCTATATGCGCGTCTACATGCTGCCTGTAAACGCTCCACTTTCAATCAACCAATAATTGTAAATTTTTTACTTAAAATATTCTCTCGTTTTCGTTAAGTCGCCAGTTTTTAAACCGATAGAAACCAATTAGAAGGCGTGCGGGACGCCCCAAACAGCAAAAAATTGCTTCCTTAACGAAGTTATTCAATTTGAAAGAACCAAGCGAAGAAAGACAGGCGCTAGACGTAACTAAATCAATTTTTTGCGCTTTTTTGCCCGCAAACTTAAAGTAGAGCCGGAAGGCGATCCAGGCGAATCGAAGTAATATAAGTTATTCTTCGAACGAGTTCTAAAATGAAAGGGGCGAGCCTTTAATAAGTTAGTTATTGATGGGGAAAGACTGTATAATTAATTGCGTCTCAGCTCTGACACGGCTGCGAATAAAAGCTAATTAATTAAGACTTTTGAAACGATAAAATTTTTAAAGTTTCTCTTGTTTTATCCCATTATTAGTAGCGTGATAGCAAAAAGATTCACTTTATTCATTATGTTAAGTGTTTTAAAAGTATTTGGGCAGTTGTTTGATTTAAAAATTGTTCAGATTTTTGACCTGGTGTAGGATTGTTTCAGAGTGTATTTCTGTGCTGAATTTACTACCTTCAGGAAAATTTTGGTACGCTATAGGTACGATAAATTCAATTGAACTAAGAAATAAAGTCAGGTATCATTATCAGGAATTTGAACAATATTACATAATTTGGTACAGTTTCATCAAACAAGATTACCAATTTCCCCTGACGACAAAAGTCAGAAATCAGTATAGAAAGAAAAAAAAATGTATTCCACTTACCAAATTCGCATCGTTTTCCTTTAAACCTGTCCAGACACTGGCAAACAAAACCGTCCATGTCGGGAACACAGAAGCCATTATTTACACAAGGATTTTTGAGAAAGGGACAAGGTAATCCCTCATAGAATCCCACGTTCGACGCGCAACTATTGTTGGAGGGATTGTATGAGCAGTCCGATAATATGTTTGTTATCGGGAGCGGATTTCCATTTACGGCGAGTCCTTGAATCGTTCCTCGGTATCCCTTATTCCATCCGGGTAAGGAGAACAGATTGTTGTTTTCTTCCTTTTCACTGAAATTGACGGAAAAGCTAAATGATTTGTTCTTTTTTATTTCGCAGGACCCATTATCTAACAGACATTTTTACACGAATGAATAATGATTAAATTTTAAATTTTGCATGGTGTAATAATTTATATTAAATTATACGCAATTTGTTTTTGTGATTTCTGCATTAAAATTATCGGTCCATTTACTTTTATGTAAATGTCATAATTTTACTTTGTGAATGGCACATTGGGATTATTTAAGTGAAATAAATATTTTCAAACCGTTTTTGCAGGATAGAAAAGTTAATATAGTTTTTTATTTATCCGAAGCACTAGAAAATAGTTCCAAGTTCGGTCGAAAATTCTTATTAGAGATATTAAAAAATTAATAACCATTTAAGCCTCAATTTCTGTATTTACTAAGCAAACACTTCTTCCACTCAAAGATAATTTAATTTTACGCTACTAATTTTCTTTCAAAAGGACTTTTTTATACGATATCTTATGCGTGAGAGCGAAACACTTATGGGGGCTCAGCCAATGAATAAGTAAACCTCTCTCAGAGAAAAAAGTTCCAGTTATTTGAAAGGAAATTTTAGGGAAAAAAAAAACACTTAAAACGGGACTTTTAACTGTCTTTACAGGGTTAAAACGTGGAAAAATGTTTATTCATTTTTATGTACGGCGTTCTGCGATGTCCGTTTGGCTGAGCCAACGTTGTTCTCGAAACAATCCACAGTTTTTTTGCCTAGACAATAATTTTACACACAAAGATACGGATTTGAAACAATGATAATTAACAGAAATGGCCTTTGGACCCGAAAATCGTGCTTGGAGATCAATTCGTACAAGAATTCATAGCTATTGCTCAAAATCAGGGTTTCTCTAGCCCCTTTAAAATTCCTTTTTTCTATTTATCGACCCAGATTTTTTGGAAATAGTTAGGTAGGAAGCTAGTTATTTTATTTCCAGTATGCCTATTGCAGAAAACTTTAACAAGCCTCATCTTATTAAAAAGAAAACAAATTCTTTTATTTATCGCCTTCCGAATAAAATTTAGGTAATTGATTTTCCTTGAAAATTTCTAGAAGATGTTTTATTTGACATGAATAAAATATTCAGCAATTACTCGAAACTGTAGCAATTCTTTCGAGTCTTTAAAGTAAATTGTTTCTCTTGGAAATATAAGGAATTTTTGTTATCGAACATCCGGCTTATTTACGATGACTTCGATATGTTAATAAACAATAAATGAAATTTCTGCCTGGTCTCATCCTACCAAGTCACGATCCGTAACGATTTTTTCCGAATTTCTTATTGCCGCAAAAAAAGTTAACTTTCCCATTCCACTAGCATAATTCCATTTCCATAAAATAGAAGCCCAGCTACTTTGCATATTTTAATAAACTTACTCACCCAAAATCGATCTACTCTCTAGACCGTTTTTGCTAGCGACCATAGGAAGTAGCTTTCACAACCAGTATTTAATTAAGCTGTATGGGTCACAGAAGCTCTATGATTAAAGCAACAGGAAAATGCACACAGTGTTATAGATTCAATAATCCAAAGGAGGTTCACAAAGCTTTGTTCAATTTTGATACATTTTTAATTAATTAGATATTGTTCCAGTATATTATGCTACTACGATTCAGCTAGTATAAAGCTCCGAACTTGATTTTGGCCAACACTGGAACATTGTTCACCTAATATTGAATTCTTTTTTGTTAGCGGTCTTTCACATGTTTGTAAATTATATACTAAGTATTGTATTACTTCAACATGACTTTGCTTTAAGCGCAAATCCACATACTAAGACCTGAATGACTTGCTTCAAAACATGTTTGTATTGTAATTATCTCCGATCGATGTCGACGTTTATTTGTAATACAAAATTATGCTGTGCAATTTACACCCAAAGTCTGTTGTATGTGTTCCTCCAAAGCATAGGCGTATCCAGGGCAAGGCAAGTCCAGACTATTTTTTTTCCCAGCGATTTTATGTGACATTTACATTTTTTGTATAAAAAAAATAGAAATAAAATCAATTTCTTTCCATAATAAGGGTTTTCTATGGCGAGCGCGTAATGCAGCAAGAGAATCAGTGCTTCATCTTAATCATCCTGAATGTCCGAAATACTTCCTTTCTCAGGGGCCCGATTCTCGTCTCAGGGCGTAAAGCAGTAGAGCTCCCCGATAGAACGTATGTTTTGTCCTTGCCAACGTAATCGAAAAGTAAAAGAGAATGATAAAGACGAAAAATTTGTTCTCTCGGGGAGCTCTACTCCTGCGTCCCTATTCTTGAAACAGGGGAGCAGCGTACTCAGGAGAACGAGTGTTCTGTCTTTCTCAATGATATGCAACTGATAATATAAGTAACAAAGACGGAACACTCGTTCTTCTGGGAACGCTAGCTGCTCCCTTGTTTCAAGAATAAGGACCAGGAGACGAGAATCGAACCCCAGAGATGGGACTCTTTAACGAATAGAGATATTTTCCCTATCTCTATTGACGTGCCGTCTTTATTGATTTCGGAAACAGAGAAGACAGCTGGGCTGGGACTCTGTAACGAATAGAGATATTTTCTCTATCTCTATTGACGTCTCCTCTCTATTTATTTCGACAAGAGAGAAAAAGACACCAAGTGCCTTAACGATAGGGATAACGATCTCTATCCGTTACAGAGTCCCAGCTCAGAGGGTACCCTACTCTTGAAACCAAGGACCAGCGTTACAAAATTTCTTCTCCTTACTAAAAAAAAGCGAATAAGTGGCCCGATGCGAAAATTTTTGTCGACCTGCAAAACAAAATTGGCACGAAACAGTTGAGTACGTTACAGGTGAATTTCTGACAAAAATAGGCAACATTCACATTTTTAAATTAATCTGTCAGTCTTTCTGATAACGACTGTATACTTTTTTTCCAAAAAAAAAAACTTTCAATTTTGAAAATTAAATGATTTGAAAAACGAATTTTCAAACTGCTGCGAAAACGCCGGATAGGAAAGGGACGTCACTTTTTCAAACATGCGAGGATGCCGAAGTTCTCATTTTTGTAAACCATTCCAAAATATGGCTGATAAAAAAGTAGGTACTTAGAACCTATGACCTATTTTCGTCCTTTACTACTTCATAAAAAAAGAAAGTATTGGTATAATTTGTGAACTCGGGCTACCTAGTAACATGATGCTAAAATATTTCGTCATTTCTAATGTGGCAACATGCGCATCAATGATTTAGTCAATGAGAGGTACGTTAAAATGGACTATACGCACCATTTTTTTTTTTTTTTGGTCAACACTTTTTGTTAACAGAGCCCCCCCAAACCAAAATCCTGGATACGCCAATGCTCCAAAGTACGTAATTAGTAATTATATCGTCACAACCTAGTGCTGGTTTGTACTGATTAAATCCAAACAGAGTCTATTTTGGTGCGCTTATAAGCTGACTATTAAATGCTTATGCGTAGCCTTTTCAAACGTTCAATTGAATTGACTTTCGTAAACTCTAGCAAACTCTAATATTGTAATTATTGATATATTGAGGTTACGGCCTGAATTTAAGAAAACATTGTTTGCTCCTTTTTTAGGTTAGTTAGGGATCTTCTACAGATATCAAAATTACGGCTCTCGGTGTTCTTCTGGAAATATCCTCTTCAAAAAAACTGGGGTGCAACGTAATAATCTCAACAAGGAAACAAACCACTGGTTGAAGGAGCAGCCCACATTGAAAGCAGCTGTTAGGTCCATTCCAGTATATAAAGGATTTTTTAGCGACTAACCGTTTGTAACCGTGTTATAAACGGTAACTGACAGTACATCATATTTTGAGTTACCGTTTATAATACGGTTACAAGCGGTTAGTCGCTAAAAAATCCTTATAGTGACTCATGGACTTCCACGATTGAGATTGACAATTAACAATATTAACATGGGTATACCTACTGGGACTCGGAGGGCTAACTGAAAATATATCTGTAGAGATCGATATCACAGTTTACTATTTCAGTTAAAAATCGCGAAATCGAAGAATGATTGCTTGGGCGGGCGTAATATGATTTTTTCTTTATTTTCTTGTATGTTAATTGTGTCCAAAAGTCCCTTGTGCACGGCGCCACTTGCACGCTCTATTGCTATGTTCCTGACCGTACCCTCACAGAAGAATCAATAAAAAACACTGTGGTAGTCAGCTGGATCAAAGGACATGATAACAGCAAAGGCAGTCGGGCTGCCGATACTCTGGCTAGGAGGGCCGCCAGGCTTCAACCTTCTGGACCAAAGCCCTTCGTGGGGCTAATCATGTCGGCGGCCAAAGATATGATCAAAGAACGTTCCCACACCCTTTTCAAAAAGCGCTGGGACGATACGATTTGCTGCAACTCATCCAAGGAACTGCAGATAGAGCCTCAGCGAGCCAGAAACTGTCGCTGACCAGGAAAAGGATACGCCTAATAATAGGCATCTTGACTGGCCACTGTCAGCTAAACAAACATTTATTTAGGTAGCATCCCTTGTGTATAGGGCTTGTAATCAACAAGACGAGATGATGGAGCAAATTCTTTGTAACTGCACTGCTTTTTCGCCAATACGCAGAGCCATATTCAAATATCATCATAAATCAGAGGCACCCGCCCTCGGCGACGTCATTGCCTACGTTAAATTGCTAGGCTGGATGACGAGCTAAGGATAACCTCTCCTCTTGCGGAGGCTCATAATGAGCCTACTGTGGCTTAAGTCCTGTAGCATACCAGTCATACCACCCTCTCAAACTTACAGATACAGAGATGATAATATGTTGACACATTTGAAAAACACCGCAATTCGCATCAAAGTATATCAAATGTCTGGTAACATCATGCAGACGTCAATTATCTAGGTACAATACATAACTGTGATTTCCCTATGCAAATAAAAGAATATTCCTAATTCAATACAATAAAAACATTACCTAGGGGATAAAATGGAATACATATTGTATTCAATATAAACAATACTGATCGGTAATAGTGCGAACAAATAAATCAATTAAATAAATTATTTCAAATACAGCATGAAAAATAGCAGATATATACTTACCCTTTTGATGCATATAATACTATTTAAATCGAGTTTATTTTGAAATAAAAAATAAAGTATCTGTTAGAAAATGAGACTCTTTTCGCATTTTCACAGTTATTACGGTATAGATCCAACGTAGAGCGGTTTGTCGAGCACAACGATCCCAAGGGGTTCGGTCAAGTAGCCAAAAACTATGCTTGAATTGTCAACTTGTAAAAGGCCCTCTATCCCGTTTCCAGATATGCGGGCGTGGTGCCATTTACGGATGACGATGGGATCCATAGACCTAAACGAAAAGGATACGGATTATAAGCGACCTCGGTGTCGGTGAAATATAGCTTGTTTTAAAAAGGCGTAATAGCGAAAATTTGAATGATAAATTATTTTAGAGAGACGGTCATGCAAGTCCGTTTATAAATATGTTTTGTGGAACGTTTTTCTCATTGTTGAAATGCCAGATTGTTCGGTTTATGATATATTTGGAATTTGCACACACGCTTCATTATGATTTAGACTAAATATTTCAACCTATAATTACTGTTTCTAAACAAATCAAAAAGGACGTCTGATGCAATTTTACAACAGTTCTTCCCTATTAAAGCTTCTAACTTGAAAAAGAAACAGATTCACCAATAATATTTGTAAGGTAGCTATGTGCAGGTTAGTTAATCAGTATAAAATATATATTTTTTTTAAATATTTAACTTCTTTCTTTTCTTTTCAAAATTATTTTATATTTATTGATTTTATAATATGTAATTATGAAAATGTTTTCATTTAGTAGCTCTATATTTTTTTTCCTTTACACCAAAAGTAAATACTAAAATAAACCCCAATCAACAAATTTAATTTAATTCAAATATATTTTAACAATTAAAATTAAAATGAAAGCAATGAATTGTAAACCGAATTAATGGCATGCGATGATTAGGTAAAAAATAAGCATATCATTTAAATTAAATTGATTAAAATGTAATATTCTTGTTGCGTAAAATTCGAATATGCATTGGTATACCTATGTTCACTCTATCTCGGATAATTTTTTTTTTTTTTTTTGCTAAATTTTTCATTTTGTTTTACATATTTATACATAATATAATGACCGGTTGTAAAAAACACATGCCAGATCTCGCTAGGTCAAAACCTTTATGTATAATAAATGTCTAGAAAATGAAATAGGTAGCAAACTACCCGGAAAATTACTGGGCATTAATGTTCGTTTTCGGTGAAAAAAAAAGGTGGAATAAAAGTTCTGGGAGAACAATTGAATCAGTAGATTTAATCATCAAGAAATTCAACAATAAAGAGGTTATTGAAACCATCGAGGAAACCATAATATATGCGTATTTTGTTGAGAAAACGAAAAAAAAAAAAAAAAGAGAACGAAGCGGCTGGATGTGCGCTGGTATATGGTTTGTCGTATCCCATTCCATTGAATATGGCAAGCGGATTAATTATTTGTTAAGAAAAAGGAAAATTGACAAAAAAAAGTTTGTCCCTCTGTGCACATTATGGAATTACTTTCGTAAACTAATATAAGCGTAAATTTTGACTTTTGAATAAATTATGAGTAACTTTCAGAAGACTTGACAGTGTGATAGAATTCAAAACCAGGAAAATTGGAAGTTTTTTTTTTTCACAGTTTCACTCTATATGAGAGAACCTGATTCTCAATTATTGGATACTTCACTAACCCAAATTCACATCCTTATAAGTCAACTATGGATTAGTGAGACCATACCTGCCGAACTTAATTATCATTTTTAAAAAGGGTGACAAGGGTCAATGTGGAAACACATACAGACGACTTTACTCTCTGTTGCGAGCAAGATACTTGCCAGGATATTATCAAATCGGTTAATCTCAACTACCGAAGATAACATCCAGAGACACAGTGTGGCTTTAGACATGGTTTTCAGTGCAAGACAAATGCAAGAGAAATCCAAGAAACATAATCGCCCTCTATACATGGTCTTCATAGATTTAGTGCAAGTATTTGATTCGGTAAACAAAGAAGCTCTTTGAAAGTAATTGGTGAAGGTTGCACTGAGAAATTTTTTTTATTGTCATAGCTAATTTTTCTGCTGCCGTAGCCAAAAATGTTGGCTACATAGGGGACAGCCAAGATCTTTACTACCGCCGAAAAGATAACTTTACTGGCACTGTTTATTTGCGGTAGCAAAGTGACTTTATAAAGAATTTACTCACAGTTTCTACAAGGTCACTTTGCTGGCATAGAAAAGCTACTTTGCTGTCGTAGGAAAGTAACTATGCTGTCCTAGAAAAGAGGTTATATACCCTCAAAACATCCTTTTTTGCTATTGAAAAGTAGATTGCTAAGACAGAAAAGATATTTGTTGTTGTTACTAGAAATGCTTCCTGAAATATGAAAGCGTTTGTCTCAGAACAAAAAATTTCTTGCCAGAATCAGCCAAGTGTTTTATTAGTCATGGGAAGTTATTTGTCTCACCAATAGCAAAAATATTTTGCTGGAAATCTTTGGAAATATGTATAGTAGCGCGTCCATCATAACAAAACCAGGAGATAAACAAACTCTATTTAAACCCCTAAACTTTCATTACCTGATCTGAAATAATGTCAATTAATGAAAAGTTTGGCGCTAGAGTTGTTTCTGCTAGTTTTGATGGATGCGCTGGCACCATTTCCAAAAAGATTCCCAGCGACCGACACTCGACTTGACTCGACAGCATCCACGATCCACACCGTACGGCGTTAGCTACTAAACTAAAATGGAAGAAAATGAACACGAAATATATTTTATCGGTTATTTTTGGACCCGAAGAAATCACGGAAATGTCCGAACGGTATTTTTAGTTAAGTTATTTGGCTAGGGTAGCAAAAAACATTACTGTAACAATAACAAAAATTACAGGAATTTTTTTTTGCTGCAACAGTAAAGTATCTATAGATACTATCTATCTTAGAAAAGGTCTATTTCGGAGAAGCAAAAATATTTTCATAAAATTTTAATTTTGCTATAACAACAAAGTTTGGTTTTGGAATAAGAAATATCTTTGCAGTTCCAATAAAGTAGTTTCAGCAAAGTGATCTTTTCTGTAGAAGCAAAATAACATTGCTACCTCTAAATCATTTTCCACTGTAACAGCTAAAAAAAAACCAGCAAAGAATTTTCTCCTGGGACTTTTTTCAGTGTGGGTGTCCGAAAAAGTATATCCAGATACTACACCTGCCGCACAAGAATATGAATGCAACCGTCCTAAGATGGACAAGGAGAGCCTTTTCAAATAACTACAAGCATGTAACAGGGCTGTGTTATTGCACCCACTATATTTTCGCTATTTATAAGATCCATACTTCACCTTATCGAGGGTCACCTGCCATCAGAAGAGGAAAGTACAGACTTGATGATGGCGGCTTATTCAACTTGAACAGATTACGAGCCAAGGCAAAAGTATCGACGACATCGATAATTGAATTTCAATATGCGGATGATAACGTCGTGATGACCGATACCAGAGGAAGATCTTCGGGTAAATATCAATGCATTCAACGAAGCATACAGGAGAATCCGCCTAGAGGTCAACTTTAACAAGACGCAGATCCTGCACCAACTTGCGCCGGATACTAATCCCCAAGCCCCAAATATAACTAACTATAAATGACCATTTTTTGCAGAACGTAGAACAGTACCCATACCTTGGGAGCCATCTGTCAGCGAATGCAACATCGCTTGAAGTGTACTAGTGCGGCGTTTGGGCGACCTCTAGAGAGAGTATTCAACAATCACGAAATCATCGCTGAGACCAAACTTCGCGCAAAAATATGTTCTAAAGAAAGATATGGCAGAGTGTCGCATCGATACCAGCAACTGGGAGACGATGGCAAATGATAGACCCTCATGACGTCGAGTAGTCCACGACACGACGGACCACGAACTTCTGAAGAACAGCGATGCAGACACGAGACGGAACAGAGGGACCGCAGGCAGAAGCGAGAGAACAGAGGAAGAGACAATGCCTGTGAAATTGTGCGGCTCTAGAATTGGTTTATATCTTAGATTATATACAGGCTCACCTAGATACGCAATGTATTCCAAAAAAATTCAGCCAAGAAGGGGTCACATTCTAAGCCCATGTCTTATATTAGGTATGCACTGATACGTTGGACACGCAGAAAACCCAAAGCGATTTTTTTAAAACGATTTGATTGGTCGTTACTTGTCAACGCGTGTTTATTTAATTTATGTGGGAATCAGCTTTTAAAGCCGTGCGTAAAAATTTTGTGCCCGTAGTAACGGCTACTGGGCTGCGTTCAGATTGAACTTCGGGTATCGCCCGAGCGCGTTCTGACCGTTCAGATTGCTTTGGGTAAAATTTACCCAGCCGTTCAGATTGTCAGTAGATTTTTACCGGACGACGCCCGGACGCACACTTTTGCGTCCCATAAAATAGCAAGATAAAATTTGCCCCGCATGCGCGTTTGTGTTCTAACCTTAAATAATAAAGGCAAATATTGTAAATAATTATTTTTGCGAGTTATGGTGGGTTTATCCAAACTCTTCGTTATCCTCATCAACTCTATTTAAAAAAAAAGTGGCCTATTTTTTTTTGTTTAGTTTGTGATGCTAAATTGATAGCAATCACTGACACTAGCACATCCTCGTGGTCCGAAGATGAAGCGTCCTCATCATTAAATAACTCTTTAAATATGAAGGAAGATACTATGGCTTCTTCCATAGTTAGTATTTATTTAAAACATTTTGAAGAAAATGGCAAAAATGTTAGAATCAGTGAGGTTATAAAGAGAGAATGCGTCTTGGCCGTTCAGATTGGGCGAATCGCCGGGCACACTCGGAGTGCGCTCTCTATCGGGTGCGCTCTTCACTGGACGTCGTCCGGACTCTTCAATCTGAACGCGCCCCCTGGAGCGCAATGGCTGCCACTTTTGAAACAGCTGACTTTGGATTTGTTGTTTTGTGATTTTGTTCTCGCGTTTTATTGTGATTTTAATGAGTTTGAGGCTCTGTTTTTTATTGAAATAATTGTTAAATTTAATTTATGTGGGAAATCATGCTTTAGCTGTGCCTGGTTTGTGGAAAAAATAATGCGGATTTCCTAACATTTCCTTCCAAAGGCGAGTGGATCAGTGGCGCACAACCTCTACTTGTTATTATTTGTATTATCTGTTACAGAGTTCCAGCGGTTATCTAATTCCGGTTTCAGGTAGAAAAACTACGATAGAATTTTATTGAAATGGAATAAAACATTATGGCAAATCTCAGTCTTTATTCACAATGGTGCTTTA